GTGAAGAGGACCGACACTAAATGGGAAGAATATTCCTATACATGGTGGATATGGTGGAAGACCAAGGACCTTGGTCCAAAGTAGAATAATTCCCATTATTATTTTTATAATTACCAAAATTACCAAAATTTATTTTTGCTTGTGCATACCCTAACGGGCATCAGCATTCAGGCAATCTTTGGATAGCTGAGTAAGAAAATTAATATATTATAGTAGTAACTAATCCCTCTGCTTTCATTTTCTCGAAAGTTGGGAAATTTTGCTAGTGGACTTGGGAAAATTTGGATTTTCTCCCCCTCTAGACTGTCACTTTTCAACTGATCAAGTCCCCTTAAAACCACTCTCCTTTATATAAAAGTATAGGGTCGTTATATAGGTAATTGTATCTATTATTTATATAGTGAACGGTATTGACTAGTATTGACTTGCTAGAGAATAGTTTCGAACACTCGATCCACACTATGATCGGACCGAGACCGGAGCGAGATCGGACCGATAACGGCATCATAGTGTGGATCGAGCTATATTCTTTTCGACCAACCGGTACTGGCGTGATGTCGGNTGTGACGTATGTATAAACACTTTTGTGTAACAACATGAATAAAGTATCTATCTATCTATCTATCTACATCGTGTCATACGTTGTTGTTTATCAATCTAATACCTTGGAAAATCCAGTGTGTTCAAAATTCACGGGATCAACAATTTTTGAGAAATTTCAGATAATCTCTCTGAAATAAATGAGTTATCTCCAATATGAGCGAACGTGATATTACCGAGTCAGGTTGGAAGGTCGAGTCTCCTTTATCTATTTTAGTAATTATCATTAAACAGTAGAGTGAAAAAAGAGTTATACGATGGGTTTCCAAAAGATGATTGTATTCTTGCGAAACACTTTGGAATAAGAGAATTTTTCCAAACTTAGCGAACCGCCCCGACTCCGCACGGGTGCAATATTGATACCAAATATAAATTCACCCATCGGAAATTTGAGGGTATAGAGAAACAGTGATGGACTTGCAATTATTAAGCAGTTTGGGACTGCTCAGGATAGTATTGTAAGATGTCAAGTCATTGAGTGTCAGAAGTAGAACATTTTATATTATTTTTTTTTGAGAGATGAACAAGCATGGACAATACTTACAAGCACTCTTTCCAAACACCAGAACTGCAATACCCTACACGATGCGCGTTTCACCAACCAAGTTGGTGTTTTCAGAAGATGAAGTAAACTTCAGGTTGGTGAAACCAGCGTCGAATAGAGTATTGCAGGTATGTGGGAAAAGTGCTTGTTATGGATTTATTCCACACCAGAGGTTCCAGTTTTACCATATATTACAGTATTTCCAGAGTTGAACAATTTTTTTCATTTGATTTCTTTCTAGTTTCAGATTTTGGATAGAAGAAATAGCATATCAGAAGGTAATGTGTTCGAAGAAAGTACTGACACCGATGAAACTTTGGACAATAACAAACTGGCAGACACTTATACATCTCATGAAAGTGTACTAAATTTGAGAACAGGTAGGCTTCATTTAATGATCTTATGATACAGAATGAACTACATCTTTATTTTTCCAGCATTGAGCACACTTCACCTCATCCCAACTAGCAAAGCTAGACAAAGAAACTTTTTACAGGGTAAAATTGGTGCTAATTCTCTTCTGGGGCCTGAAAAAGATTGATCAATTTTTGTGTTATGGAGATTAGTTGGATAGTTCCACAATATTTGGTTTGCGATCTGATTAGGTAAACACGCCACTGACAAGTGGTTACATCTTGTCAGTGGCGTGTTATTCCACTCCGAGGTAAGTATATGTCTCTAGACATCCAGATGGTGGCATTTCGGAGACATAGCGGCAACTTCTTTTGTTGTCGCTATGGTCAAACAGATGAATCGTCAGTCGCAGAACACGCCCTCTCAGAGGGTAGTCATGACATTGCCTTCGAACTAGCGCAAGTTGTTGATGAAACCAGAGGTTATTATCTGGGGCCTCAGAGTAATATTTGCTACTCTGAGTTTGGGGCTAATCAGAGAGGCCATACAAATACATAAACATAAGAATAATTTAAACCGTAAGGAAGAGAGCTCAAACTTCAACAAGACATAAATACCGGCACTTTATAACACAAAGAGTATCCCAGTAATTGAAGAAGGGTTGGACGTTCGACACCCAGTCCTAGTATGAGAACAAACACACCAGGGCCATTTTCAGTTTGTGCATCGCAGCACTTCGACCGTTGCCGCATCGCCTAATGTTTGCTGCAGTAGCAGACGAAACGTCAAGTATAAAATCCTGCAGATTACGGCAAATAAATCCGGAAACATAAGACAATTTGTTAGACACTGGGCCGTGAATGCCTACATAGCAATATCAAAATCAAAAGCCTCTCCTCAGAGAGAATAAACTATAAATAATTTCCGTCNAAACCGGATAAACCTCTCACGTTTATCATGGACACTGTAAGATACAATTATGAGTAGTTTAATTGGTAATACTAGTTACAGACTATAAAAGATGAAAATATAATCTTTATTGATAGAATTAGACCGTGACGTTTTGACAAGTCTTCATTATCGAAAGTACAACTTCCACATATAAAAATGTCTCATTATGAGCTATAGAAGTACTACTTTAAATAATATAAAATATGTATAAATAGGACAAACCGATCAAAATACAGACATAGTAAAAATCAATCAGTAAGTCCACTTCCACTACTTTCGTTCATAAATTCAAAGTTCTTGGTGACCTCTAAACGAAGTGACTCTGATTGACTCCTCAATTGGATTTAGAAAAAAAGAAATATGAGAGGATACTCCGCACATTTACTCAAAGACCTTTACCCCTATTTTCGGTATTCATTGATGACGTTATTTGCAATATTCTTATTTATATTTCAATGAAACAGTTGGAAGGCCAAACATTTTTTTTGTCGTAGATCTCATTTAAAAACTCATGCTTTTTCACTTCAATTGGTTTGAAAATTTCGTTATTAACTTGAGGATATCTTTTTTGTTGAATGCGTTACTGAAAACAAACAATTTTGGGATTTCACCAACTTTTTTTTCAGGTAATAATTCAACCCGAACCATATGGTGTGGCACTGATAATAGGTGCATGGAACTACCCCGTACAACTATGTTTGGCACCGCTTTCAGGAGCCATTGCGGCTGGAAACACAGTCGTTCTGAAACCATCAGAAATAGCTCCAAACACTGCAAAAGTTATAGCACAACTCTTACCCAAATATCTAGATTCTAAATGTTACCATGTAGTAAATGGGGGAATACCAGAAACTACCGAACTATTGGAACAAAGATTCGATTATATATTCTACACCGGAAACTGCAATGTGGGAAAGATAATTCACAGGGCAGCTAGTAAGTACCTCACTCCTGTCACTCTTGAGTTAGGTGGAAAAAGCCCGGTGTACATCGACTCGACGGCCGACTTGGATTTGACGGCGGCCAGAGTTCTTTTTGGACGTTTCGCCAATGCTGGTCAAAGCTGCATTGCACCAGATTACATCCTGTGCTCAAAAGAAATAGAAACAAAATTCATAGAGGCGTGTAAAAGATGCATGACAAAATGGTATGGTGAAAATATAAAAGAATCTCCTGATTATGGAAGGATAGTAAACAGAAATCATTTTCAAAGGATAGTGAAACTTTTGGAAGGTAAGGATTAAAGATAGAACTTTCAAAGTGTAATATGCCCAAAAAAGATAGAATTTTTGTCAGAAATGATGTGAAAAAAGACCGATTCAATGAGATTGTTCCACTCTTAGGAACAATAGGAACAAATTTCAAATGATCTGAAACATCACTACTATATACAAGTGAGTCGCTCGCCTTCTCACATTTTTTAATGATTGTGGTGTAGTACTCAGCCCAAGCATTGATATTTGATTCTTATAGACATGGCCGTCGCCATGGGGTGGGATGAGGGGCGTGCCTCCCCCCCCTGCTTTTTCGACCTGGGAAAAGGTTTGGAAATTTTTGGCCGTGAAGATAGAAAAAAATAAAAGTAACAAAATGAATAAAATCAAAAAAATTCAAATGATATTATTTATATAGTGAACGGTATTGACTAGTATTGACTTGCTAGAGAATAGTTTCGTTTTCAAAAACAGGAACAAAAAACTTTTTTTTTCGAAATCAAACTCGACACCCGAGTTTTACTAAACAAACAAAAACTAGTCTAAGTCGCGTGTTTTGCTGTGTAATGGTTGTCTGTTTCCACTACACGAACACTCGATCCACACTATGATCGGACCGAGACCGGAGCGAGATCGGACCGATAACGGCATCATAGTGTGGATCGAGCTATATTCTTTTCGACCAACCGGTACTGGCGTGATGTCGGATGGGAATCAGAGCGATGCGATAGTGAGAATACTCTGATTCTTTCTTGTTTGAGAATACTTTACCGGACCGGGAACGGACCGAGACCGGAGCGAGATCGGACCGAGAACGGCATCATAGTGTGGATCGAGCCTTATCATCATGCCTGCTCTATGCGATGTATTTATAATGGCCTGCGGTTTTTTATAATCGAATCTTTCGAGCGAGAATAGCGAAAGCTAAAAAACCAAGATACTGTTAAGATATTCGTTAAGACCTTGTTAAGAAAAATATTTTATTGTATTCAAGAAATGCTTCATTATGAAATTTTCACTACACACATTACGCCGTCGTTTTTGTTTTACAAAACGCGAATGTTTTTGTAAAACTGTGTGGTGAAAACCTCACAATGAAGTGTTTTTTGAATATGTTATGGACTGTCATCTGTCATTAAGTATCGGCCGATACTTGGTGATCGGCCGATTATTCTTTGTATTCTTTGTTTTCGTTTACATTTTTCATTCTTTACCACTGCTGTTATATGCATATAAAATGTTATTACAGAAGTTGAATACTTCTTCAAGTGGGGTAGAAAAAAGCAGAAGAAGCAACATTGATATTGTATAATGATATATACATTTTATTGTATTGTATATGAATACATGTATTTTACATATATAATCAGTGGGCATTCTTGAAAAATTGCAATAAATCAAATCATCTAAAGGAACAATTCGTTCAGGCGAATCTCAACTCCCTACACTGTAGGTTAATGAACTGACACCCATCAGAAAACAACTACTCCCCTAGCTAATACCACGAAGGGCTTTGGATTGTATCCAACAGGTGTCAGTGCAGGATTCTTCACTGAAGTTATTCCTGCATATGATATTGGCGAGACAACTACCGCAATAGATTTTAAATTATTGGAACACACTTGCAGACCGCTTTCGGCCTGTTTGGTCACTCGTCAGTGCAAGGTAGTGTCTATCATCAACATAAACTCGATGATTTCCGATAATCGAATTCCTTTAGAGTATCATTCCTCGAACTAGGCTGAGGAGAAATGAAATCTTTGTCGCCGTCCATAAATCTAATTCCATATATTTTCAATTCTAACATTCAAAGACATGAAAAGTGGTTGTCATGTATCGGTTTCAATAGTTTCAAGCACTCTTCACTTATTATGTGGCCGTTCTCTACGGCATGTTGAGCAACATTACATTTTTCTAGTCTATAAAGCTGAATATGTGAAACATGCTCCTTATAGCGAGCTATTATAGTACCCTCAGTTTGACCAACATTCATTCCATCGAAATCCTTATAGGTGATTTCGTAAATCCCGACTTTTTTCCATTGTCTTAACATTTTTCCCAATATTTTCTCAAGGGTAATGTGAACAGTCTATGGCCAATTATGGTGGTAAATGTCAGGGATATATCTGAAACTACTAGTATTCCTTCTATATACCTACTTCAAATTATAAACCCCTATCGGCGTTCCTCATTACTGGAACATCCAGAGATGATATTATAGCAACTCGTTATCTTAAGATTCATACGTAAACTTCATATTTGAGAATCTGTTGTGAAGAGAGACAAAAAATTCTCTACCATACTCCTATTTGTGGCGGATATGGCAAATACATCATCAACATATCGGATCCAAGTACTTGGAAAGTTATATATTTCTACTGAGTGAGAATTGCAATAAAGTAATAGCTTGGTCAAACTAAGATAAGGATCATGTTTCACATATTCGGTTTCATAGGCTACAGAATATATGAGGAATGCTTGTTACCGGTACATGACAAACGGTTTTTAGATGCCTTCGAAGGTTTCGAAATCGAAAAATGAGGAATGAGATCGACAACAGAAGTCTCATACCAAACAGTCACAAGTAGAAACCAGGTTGATATCAGTTCATAATCAGGTAGTCATTATTATTGAAACAGTTAGGTATAAATATAGAATATGAAAATAGGTAATTCTAAGAATTTTTCGAATTATCTTTATTCGGTTATGGGGATTATTTAGTTAGATTTATATAAAAGCTCCAATCAGTTTCAGTAATCTTCTGATGGAGTTAACTATCACTAACTAATATTACTGGAGTTTTTCCCAACACCAAACCGTTATTTTAACACCTCGACACGTGTTTCGAACACCAAGGGATCAACTTCAAGAGGCAGTTTGATCTTCCTCTTGAAGATAATCACTTGGTGATCATATACGTATCGAGGTGTTAAAATAACGGTTTGGTGTTGGGAAAAAAATCCAGTAATACTCATTACTACACCAAAGATTCCAAACAGTGCATCACAAGTATCACTAACTAGTTGGTGATAGGCGCGTGGAGAGAAATTATTTTTGTTGTGTCGTGGAAAAAGTGTTTTCAATAGATCAATATAGAATTGTATTTTTCAGGATCCAAGATTGCTGTTGGTGGTAAACATGATATCGACGATTTGTACATTGAGCCCACGATACTGCAAGAAGTCAAACCAACAGATCCTGTTATGCAGGAAGAAATATTCGGGCCTATTCTTCCTATTGTTAACATCGACAATGCTGGTAACGCCATTGATTTCATCAACGAGAGAGAGAAACCGCTAGCCTTATATATATTTTCTAACGACAAAACAATCCACGACCTCTTCTTAAAGAACACCTCCAGCGGAAACATGCTAATCAACGATACTATGATGCACTTCAGTTGTGAAACCATACCTTTTGGAGGGGTTGGTAACAGTGGAATGGGAGGTTACCATGGAAAATTCTCGTTCGATACGTTTTCTCACATGAAAGGCACCCTCATTAAAAAATTGGACAAAGTGGGAGAATACTTGAACGCAGCAAGATATCCGCCATTTTCGGAGAGCAAGATGAACTTTGTCGTAAATGCTACCAAGAAACGGCCATCAATTCCAGGATTGAGGTATTTTTCTACGTTTGTCATCTTTGGACTTGGAGTCGCTTCGGCACTCATAAGTAAATGTATGTTGAAATGTATAGAAACTAGGAAAAATGAATAAATATTTTTGAAACGGTTAAATATATTTTTATAAATCATTCGTGAGACAGCTCCGACAATTATGTCCTTACATCTCTTATAAAATATTTCAAAAATGAAATCAACTTCGGCCTGCATGATTTCAGTTTTTTAAGTAACACTTTTTTACGCGCGCTTGACTTGGGGAGTAAGCTGATAAATGCGTCATGGGAGCATTAAAAAAAGTGTGATCAGGCGAGGCGAACGGAAGTTGAGAGGGAGGTAGTTACTGAAGATAGAATCATACGTTGCCGCTAATTTTAACAGGAGATTTGAATGTTAATTTCGCGTCCGAAGATGAACAACTCTTGGTAAAGCTTCCACAAGATAAATTAGAATTGGAAATAAATAATAACCGAAATGAACCTACCACAGGACATGGAAAAACAATCGATGCACTTTTCTCTAAATATCTTTCTAATTTTAATTCGAAAACATATGTATCTTATTTTCCATACCATAAGCATATTGTCTAGGTTTTACAATCAACCACAGTAATAACTGATGTAACCGAAAATGGAAATGGTAAATAAAAACTTATTCAAAAATAATAATTTATCAAATTGTAGAAAACCAGTATATGTATTTACATACATATAACTTCTTTAGCTCCATCTATATACATACATATAAATGGAGTCGTGTGGTATGAAGCACACTAGATGTTTTCAATTTCAAAACTGATTTTCTCTAAAGATAATTTAATGAAAAAGATTGATCAATTTTTGTGTTATGGAGATTAGTTGGATAGTTCCACAATATTTGGTTTGCGATCTGATTAGGTAAACACGCCACTGACAAGTGGTTACATCTTGTCAGTGGCGTGTTATTCCACTCCGAGGTAAGTATATGTCTCTAGACATCCAGATGGTGGCATTTCGGAGACATAGCGGCAACTTCTTTTGTTGTCGCTATGGTCAAACAGATACTTTATAACACAGAGTATCCCAGTAATTGAAGAAGGGTTGGACGTTCGACACCCAGTCCTATTATGAGAACAAACACACCAGGGCCATTTTCAGTTTGTGCGTCGCAGCACTTCGACCGTTGCCGCATCGCCTAATGTTTGCTGCAGTAGCAGACGAAACGTCAGGTATAAAATCCTGCAGATTACGGCAAATAAATCCGGAAACATAGGACAATTTGTTAGACACTGGGCCGTGAATGCCTACATAGCAATATCAAAATCAAAAGCCTCTCCTCAGAGAGAATAAAACGAAGGATATTTGGAAATTACCAAAACAATAAGTTCATTACAGTACAATTGTTCACAATTGTTCGATTTCTTCTCTATCATTCCTTTTTCGAAGATTTTAGTTCTTGTTTCTCCATTTTTCATCATTATTATGAACAAACAATGACATCATAATATATGAATTTTTCCTTTAAAAATATAACAAATAAGATTCGCCAAGAGAAATATAATGATATATAGGTTTCAGTGCTAAATTTAATAATATTATCACTATTGCTGTGCAAATCTAACAAAATCTTCACGAACATAAAACTAAACAGTAATCATAAATTTTGAATACTCTGATCCGTTACTATTGTGAATATTCTATTATGATTTTTATGGATAGTGTTCAAGCATTAGAACTTTATAGCAGTTGCTGCTCGGGCAGTAAAATCTGTCAATTTTCTTAGCTTTTGCAGCGGTTGCTGTACATGAAAATACAGCATGAAGCAGCCGAACTGTATTTCTGTGGTCTGTGCGTCTTTGGCATCCTGTGGGCAAGTGTCAAATTATGTCAATCATATCATGTCATAATTATGTATTACAATACAAACAAAAACAAGTTTCTTTGATGTTAAAATTACATTACAAACATTTTGGATTTATTTGTGTTACATGTCTTTGCAAAAACGTATATTCTCGAAAAGCTTTTCAACAAAACATGTCCCAAAACCTAATCATTCGGTGAAAATGTTAAGAATTCGATGTTCTAATATTAGCAAAATCAATAAGTTCACCTTCAGTAGATTACAATGGAACAGAAAGGTAAACTGAATAAGAGATCCGGATTTGCTAGTTTTATATTGCCAAATAAAATTCCGAATAAAGTAGGTGTAACTGTGACAAAATGTCAGAGTGCAAAAGATAAAAGTTTGAGACACCTTACCACCAGAGAAGCAAACAGTGATACAGCTATATGCAAAAGGCCTTTGAGTTTTGATGTAAACCACAGATGCATAAATGGAAAACTGCCAATGAATAAAGTAGGTATAAATTAGTATTCTTCCAAGGAAATAGTTCATTTGCACTGCACGGTGAACAAAGGTACAATATCCATTGAAATTCACTCCGGGATAATAGTACCTTGAGATTTAATATAGATGTTCAAGGGTATTGAATTGGCAAATCCTAATTTGCAAATCCCAATTTGCCAATTCAAAGTACTTGTTAATAATTTTTAAGTGAAATATATACCTGCCTGTTAATTTCAACACTGCCAGATTTACCAGATAGAGGATTGATGTATTATATAACTTCAGTATTTCTAGATTTTTTACGGAATGTTGAGTAATAGAATAATCTGGAAATAATTTTTTGTTATCTGAGTTCTTAGCATACATGTTTGTAATTATCAAGCACTATGAATTTGAATTTCTCCTTTTCTTAAATTTTGTCGCTTTACCAAATAAACAATTTTTTGGGCAGCCATTTCGAAACAAGCATATTAAGCTTATTAGTATTACTAGCAATATTAATAACAATCACCAAAATGTAAATATTTTCAGTCAAGTAACTTCATAAAAGCCAGCTCAATTCATGAATTACCTACCTTAGTATCTCAAGAAGTTGAATTATTGGTGAGTATTGGAAACATTCACTCAATATATTCAGATGCTCAGCTTAACTTATCACTTTATGAAATTCCATATCTTTTACTTTCTCTTGCAATTATTAAGCAGTTTGGGACTGCTCAGGATAGTATTGTAAGATGTCAAGTCATTGAGTGTCAGAAGTAGAACATTTTATATTATTTTTTATTGAGAGATGAACAAGCATGGACAATACTTACAAGCACTCTTTCCAAACACCAGAACTGCAATACCCTACACGATGCGCGTTTCACCAACCAAGTTGGTGTTTTCAGAAGATGAAGTAAACTTCAGGTTGGTAAAACCAGCGTCGGATAGAGTAGTGCAGGTATGTGGGAAAAGTGCTTGTTATGGATTTATTCCACACCAGAGGTTCCAGTTTTACCATATATTACAGTATTTCCAGAGTTGAACAATTTTTTTCATTTGATTTCTTTCTAGTTTCAGATTTTGGATAGAAGAAACAGCATATCAGAAGGTAATGTGTTCGAAGAAAGTACTGACACAGATGAAACTTTGGACAATAACAAACTGGCAGACACTTATACATCTCATGAAAGTGTACTAAATTTGAGAACAGGTAGGCTTCATTTAATGATCTAATGATACAGAATGAACTTCATCTTTATTTTTCCAGCATTGAGCACACTTCACCTCATCCCAACTAGCAAAGCTAGACAAAGAAACTTTTTACAGGGTAAAATTGGTGCTAATTCTCTTCTGGGGCCTTGTGAATTGGACAGGGTTTGTCCTAATAGAGAAATTACTATTTTTGTGGGAACTTGGAATATGAATGGACATTCTCCTCCAAAGTAAAGCTGTATTATTTTTAATATCACTTCAAAGTTATTTCAACAACAATTATATTTCTTTCAGAGAGCTGAATGATTTTGTGTTGCCTCTGAATATGGAACATGTTCCTGATATTCTGTCCTTTGGCACACAAGAATCATCTTCCGAAAGGTATGAATGGGAAGTCAGTTTGCAGGAAACTATTGGTCCATCTCACCTACTCTTTCATTCTGTTTCTTTAGGTGAGTTGTAATGATTGTATTTTTGAGGCAATTATTCTTCAAATTTTATATTTTGAAATAGATTGAACGTGATTGAAAAACACAATTACTACTTCTATCACAATTCACTTCAAATTGAATCAGTGAATAAATTCCCTTGACAGCAATCTGACTATTCCTGATTATTCCTGCTGAATATTTCGCAGTCATTATTTATTTATTTATCCAACGGCAAAGCCAATTTACAAAAACATATTTAACAAAGTGTGAGTAGCTACAAAGTATTTTTGAATGCTCTTGTCTGATATCTACATTACAATTTAAAATTTTACAAAACATTTAGCAAAGTGTGAAATACAAAATATTAATGAATCCTTATGTCTAGTGACTACATTACTAATAGATGAAACAATTCTGGTACTTACAAGAAAAAAGATGTAACAAATATGGTACTTACAAAGAAAATGGTAGGGTAAAGAAAAGCTTCCAAAACGCTATAGCCTTTTCAATTGATTTTTAAAGACCTGAAGTGATACATTCAACAGATCCAAGTTATTATGATATTGATTTCCCAGCTTCAGAATACGAAGAATCGGACTGTTCAAAGCATAATTGGTATGGAAAAATGTCATGATATCTTGTATCTTTTTGTTTGATATGAAAAGTTATTAGTTGAAGTAGTTCTAGGCAATTTATTTCACTATTTATTAATTTGAAGAGGAAACTCAAGTTCATAGAAATTCTCCTATCTTCCAATGATTTTATATTTAACTTGGTTAAGAGTTAACTGTACTCATATTCATTTCATTTAATACCAAAGTGAAAAGCACAATTCCTTAAGAATTTCTTTTGAACATTCTCAATCAAATCGATATTTACATTATAGTATGGGTCCCATGTAAACGAACAATATTCCAGAATGGATCTTTGGACAGCACAATGTAATTTTTTTTTGTTTTAATTGAAAAATTAGTAGAAACTCTCAACATAAAACCCAGCATTTTAAGACTTTTTGCCACAATTTCTGATACTTGAAGATTAAAATTAATTTCACTATCAAATTTATCTTCCAGATTGCAAATAAATATTTCACTATGAATGTATGTAGAATAAATTATTTTTTGACACAACAAAAGCTCATATCATAACACTCAGCTATAGACTGATGCACAAACTTGATCTGTTTTAATTTTTTTCAACCATTCATAGGTTAACTAAAAAATGTGTTAAGTAAAATGGTTGCATTGCATTTCAATACTTTAGTATAAGATTTAATAAATTTGTGAACTCAAAATATTTTTAGTACCCCTTTTGATGTTTAAATATGTTTACACTCTGTTGATCAGAATCATCATAGACTAGTCAAATAGAACTGGAAAAGATATGTTCAACCTTGATGAGTCTATAAATATATTGATAATAACATCTATGGGTCTTAGATGTGATAGCCAAAAAAATTGGAAAACCCTATTTCAATATTTATGTTTTTTAAACTATGTATAATTATAAAAGAAGAAGAGTTAGTTTTTTGTTAAATGCTTCAATCAGTACTTCTCGTCTACTCAGGTAGAGTATAGTTTAGTATTTATTCTTGTTAAGGAAAAGTAAAAAAGAATAATGATGATTAGCAAATTAGCAAAAATAAGTTGTGAATTCAGTTCACGAAAATAAAATGAAAATTTGTAATAAAATTCACAATTAATAGAATTATTGAAAATGTAATGTTCAAATCTCGCTTTCAAAATCACAGAAGCCTTCAACAAGATATTCAGGCAATCTGAAACTGATGGAAATTAAAACAGACATTGGGCATAATTTAATTTATTATAATGAATTTAAGTTTCACAATGAGCTACCAAACAATTAAAAAAATTTGAACAATCAAAAATGTTTAACCAAATATGAAAAATTATTCCTTGTATATATGTTGTGATGTGAGTGTTTATGTATACTATATTGATGATTTTTTGCAGTTTCAATTTGTCTTTCTTTTGTCTTCAGTATTTAATTTTGTTCCCTACCGTAAGCATCAATTTTCTTGGAAAAATAAATCGTTATTATTCTAGGAGAGATTAGTTTTTAGGAAAAACTTTTTTCAGCTTTTTACTTCTCCATCGATTATGTAGAAAGTGAAAATTTCAGAAGAATAGAAGTTTTGTTTACAAAATGGAAGAAAAATATCCTTCAAAACAGCAGCCTTCAATGAATGTTATGAAAATCACTTCTTCTCATTCAGTTCTTCCCAAATATTTGTAATGGAATTGAAAAAGATATAAACAGTAATCCTGCACAATGTAACATATGAAAGAGTATTGATATCAAATTTCACTAACAAGAAGAAACTTTTAATCTACACGTTAAAAAAAAATCAAAACCTGTGAATTAATTGATTCAAAATAAATCGAGCTCAAAATTATGTTGAAAAATTATATACTCTCCATATGTTTTCAGTAAGGAATCAGTACTCTTTTTTTCAGGTACTTTACACCTATCAACTTTCATCAGAAGAGATTTAATTTGGTATGTTTCAATTCCTGAAGAGGCAAGTTTATCAGTAAGACCTGGAACAGCATTCCGAACCAAAGGAGCCGTAGCCACTTCCTTCATGGTTTTTGGTACCTCATTTTTATTTGTAACAGCCCACCTGACAGCACACCAGGAAAAAGTGAAAGAACGAGTCGGAGATGTTAAAAGAATTGTACATTCGCTTGATCTACCAAAGACACTGCCATGCAAGAACAAAAATAAAGGTAAAGAAACACACTTTCCCTGCAAAATAATAATTAGGAAAATGAGATTTTATGATGAGATAATCTTTTTTGACCTCCATTCAATTGTAAAATTTCTTGTATAAGGGTACTATACATGTAAACAAATAAACTGTTATTGAATGTGATTGGTTAGTGAAACTGTGAATTTTCATAGTTCGTTTTCAGTAAGTACGAAAAAAGTTGTTTGAAGACTTGTTTTTTTGTATACTAATTTAATTCCCAGGCACATCTTGTATATATGGCACAAAGAATATGAACTTTTGAAATTTCAACTGTTGCAAGACTTTGACAACCAAATTCCTGTAATTATCTTTATGATTATTATAAATATTAAAATAGAATCTTATAAATCACTTTCAGCACTTGTAGGCCAGGGGTATTTAGAGATTTTCAGAAAAGTCTTGAAACATGTGAATAATCCCCCATTAATAATTTAATGAATTCACTACCCTGTGTTTTCTTTTCAATTCTATTGGTTTTGCATTCTTTTTGGTTTCTTTGTTCATTTTACTGTTTCGTCAATATTTTCTAAATGTGTTTCTTTTTTTCTGTTTCAGATATCACTTAAAGGTGAGAATGAGGTATGAAATTTGAGAAGAGGATCCACCCAATATGGAACTACACATTGTCAGTTTCAAATTTACTTTTTAGACACAAAGTAAAATTATTTTCTCAATTTTGAAATATCTGAAGATTTTGATATGAATATTACCAAATATTTTATGGTCTGTTTAAATATTTTTGCTTGTGATGAAACAAATCATACAAAAATAAACTAATTCTAATTTTGGAAAGTACATTAGTATCACATTCATTTCTAGATCTTCAAATTTATTTTATATTTTTGAATGAACTATTTTTTTTTGCTAATTCATCCTTATCAAATCTTTCATTTTAATGTTAATTAAAGTAATCACCTTGGTCTAAAGATAAGTAAATAGATATCATAAGATTATAAAATAATTATTGGAAGTCTACTATATAAATCAGTCATGATGTGAGTCAGTGAGTGAGTATTAATTCATGCATGAGTCTATACATAAATATGGTATAAACTTCTTAGACTAAATTGAAAGGGGTTATATTTTTAGGAGAGGGTAATTTTTGGGAAAGAAAATTTTTGGCTTTCTACTTCTCCATCTTAATACAAAAAAAATTGGGAATCTTCCAAAGGAAGGAAGGAATCAGTCAATTGAAAAAAAAATAAATACAAAGATGTGTAGATTATGCACTGATGATGACAGTGTTCCATGTAAGTGAAATGTTACCTCTTTCATTTAGTATATTGTGTAGGAATCCTGTGAGTGATATCTGATTCAATTCAGTAACTGGAATACAAATTGAGTAAAGTGTTTTTTGTAATTTAGTGTACATATAAAAGTATTTGTTTCAAAAGTATTTTTCTTTTGTGTAATTCAATGTTTATATGAAAGTAGCTGTTTCAGGAGTGCTTTCTCTTCCAGTTTGTGTCTGAAAGTTACTTCTTTGCATAAAATAAAATAATTCTCGACTTGATATTCTTGGTGTAACATTATATATTACTCTGATTACTTTTTTCTGGGCACTGAATGCTTTGTGAAGGTATGGGGACACCAGTCATATTGTAATGCCGATTGAACCAGTCCATGAGACAAGAGCATGAGTGTATTCCAAGATACTATTTCTCTAATCCTCTTCAGTTCCTTTCTTAATTACTTTAGTTCAATATCAAGGGTAAAATGGTACCAAATCAATATTTGGTTTGAACCAAAGATCCCAAGCAGAAAAAAGACATTTCTTGTACCAAAACACTTACAGAAATCAATTGAGTCAGATGACTGTGGATTAAAATTCTAAATAGACACCTCTCCCAAGTTCCTATGGTAACTGATTGTCGAAAGCTAATTCCCATGCTGATAATAAGTGGAACAACTTCCCTAGCTGACAATAAGTGGGACATTGGATTAAATGTGACAGACATTTTGGCAAGTCTTTCCACTGAAAAAATTCCTGCAAGAAACAAATTGGACAAAGTACCGAGCCCTGAGATACTCAAAAATATATTTGTTGTGTGTATGAAATTATATACCTCGGAACCAACAAGTTTCATTAGTAATATGTATGTTACACAGTAAACAGAAATAGTGCACCACCATGTGCACTATCAACAGCATCATATCGCCCAGAACAATAATCGATGTGCGAACAGTCGAGCGTGCTACATCACATTACCCAATTACCCAACCGATTAACCAGAACGCTTCCCGTCAAGCGTTTACGCCGCCGATCAATCAGGACATACCGCGTCACAGTTACAGCCTACAGCAACATATAAATAGACAAGCATTGACAAGGACAATTCAGATTGAAATTCAGCTGCCAAGCAGAGCACGTGATTATTGAAAGTGTGATATCACTATATACGAAAGTTAGATTTGGGTATAGGCATACTAAGGCTATCTGCAGAGCGGGTGTTGTGACAATCTTCTGAATAATAACTTTTTTTATGTATAAAAGTTCCTGTTTACAAAATAAATAATGAAGTAAATGTTAATCTTCCGTGTTTAATAAAGAGTGGCTTACATGAATCTTTTCTTTTCGCTTTGCATAAGTACCTGAGTGCTCTTTTCTGTAGTACAAAGATGAAAACGTTTGTCTATGCATTAGCCCCCAAAATTGTATTCCATATCGCAGTATGAAGCTTTGGTCAAATCAGAAACATAAATGGATGTGAAACTTTGAAAGTTTCAGTATGCTTTCTAGATAATCTAATACAAGCACTGCTCCCAAACACCAGAACTGGAACACTAAGCCAGAAGTTTCTTTCATTTTCATTACTCGTAGAACAATTTTCCTTCAGATGACAGTGCATATAACAATGACTGCTACTGCAGAGGAGCTGAAATTATATGAATCGAGTCATATCCCCCAATATGAATAATACCTTCATAACTTCCAACTATGTAAAATATTAATGTACATATTCTTTCCAAACTCGAGTTTCTTCAGTTCACGAGATTTTCATTAACTTTCAAATAATGTTAGGAAGACGGTAGAAAAAGTGTTGTAATTCTTGAACTTTCAGATGTTACCCAGAATTTTGACTACGTTTTCTGGTCAGGAGACTTAAACTTCAGACTTTCAACGCCAAGAGCTAAAGTTCTGGAGTGGCTGTCCAATACTAGTTTCCCACTGCCTCCACATTTACCTCATGGATATATGCATCATGATCAACTGTGTTCAGTTCTAGCAGATGGAGCAGCTTTCAAGGGTTTTTATGAAGCAAAAATTACATTTCCACCCTCTTATAAGGTAATTCAAACATGCAGAATAACCATAAAGATAAACATAAAAAAAAGTAAAAAAAATCTAATGGATTATTGTCAGATTTTCAAGTCTTATTCAGTTCAAACAATGATAAAAGTATGCATGTGCAATTTAATTCTGTTCTAGTATGATCCTGGAACACAAAATTTTGATTCATCTTCCAAGCAAAGAACTCCTGCGTATACTGACAGAATATTGTACAAACAAAAAAATTCCCGTAGATTGAGTGGCCATTTGGAAAATCCACCGTTGCAGTGCTTAGTTTACGATTCTGTACCATCAATTACAACTTCTGACCACAAACCAGTTTGGGGTGTGTTCAAAGTACATTTAAGGCCTGGTTTGGACACGTGAGTTCCCTATTAATCTTATATTTTTAAGTAAATCATATACCATGAATTTAATTCCTCTATAATATTTGGTGTACAGCCTGTTATTAAGTCAGTTTTCACCTTAAGAGTTTACAAGAAATTTGATTTGATGGTTAGAATTTTATACAGTGTGTATCATCTGAATGGAATAAATTCGATTAAAATCAATGGGGGTTTGTCCCAAAAAGACGCTTCTAAACTTTCATTATTATTTTAGTTACGTATTTTTGTCAACAAAATCTTTTTAACCAGGATGCGTCACCTAACAGTGGCCAATACCAACTCTTTTTTTTTAATGCAAAAATCTTACTTATTATCCAAATTTTGAATTTCAGCTTTGATATTTTTATCAATGTGGAATTCAAAAATAATTATTGATAGTTTTCTTTATTTTAGACTAAAATGTCTGTCATATGAATGCAAGACAGCAGTTATGTTATAGTTGTTTGATTTTTTTTAAACCTCATATCAGAAAAATGGCAGATGATTGTTTAATGAAATAACACAGGGACGCAAATAAAAGTGGCTCATAACAAATTTACAAATTTGCCTGTTATATCCCAGGAAACAATTAGGTGAATTTGAAATTAAATTTCAGGAGTTTGGACATTTGAGATAGATAAAAAACTAGCTGCCAAAGGCAATAGGTAATGTTAAAATGTGTAGAATGTTCGAAAAATACATATACAGAGTATTGCATTTAAAATAAAAAAGTTGTTATTAGCCACTATTACATAACACACGCTATATAAAACGTTTGGGTTGAAAAATAATGAGCAATCTAAAATACCAGTCATGCACGAGCATTTTTTTGGAACATTCCCGCATGTATTTATTTAATAACGAAATTATTCCATTTGGTTGATACACACTTTATAGTAGACAGAGCCTAGTTAAATAGAATGGATCCACCTCTCACAGCTCGGTCTTGAAACGAAGTATCACTGGGTTCTATTCCTTGCCTTATTTTTCTGATTTGTTGATGGTCTTTGATTCCATATGTCATATTTTATTTCACAATACCCGCTGATAAAACAAATTAACAAATAGAAATAATATAAATTTCACAGTAAATCATAAAAGTAATCTAGCCCCTGTCCCAATTCCCAAATAGAAATACCAGTATTTAGTTGTTTTGCTAATTCCAATCTCTTGTGAATAGAAAGAAGTGTAGGATAAAACACGAGGTGTTTTCTACCATTATTTTCCCTAAAACAACAATTCATTACATGAAGTGTCTGATCCCGACCACAGACAATAATTACATGATAGAAAATGAAGACTTACTTGTATTCAAAGTAATGTTCGGCAATTTCTGGATCATACTGCAATTTACCATTATATAGTTTCAATTTTTGAATATATTCATGGGAAACAATGGGACCTCCCCCATTAACTGTATAATCGTTGCCATAAAAATTGAGTCCTGTCAATATTTTATTTCTTTTATTTTCTTCAGAAGTTAGGGTTGTTATACAGTCACTAACCCAAGGCAAAGGTGCATTTGGCCCTAAAAAATTCAACTATAAGTTATAAAGATGACAAACTGAGTGAATGAAAATTATTTTTATAGTTACCCGGCATTCTCGGGTTGGAAAAATCATAAGTCATGAGTGAAAAAGCTGTTACATGATCATATAATGCATCAAAATGCTTTTCAGTGAATAGTTCTTCTTTTCCTCTCTTTGGAGGTATCACAAGAATAGTCTGCAAGCTCTCTGCACTCAGAGCATCAGCTAGAAGGAAGAAAGTCTAAAATATCAAAGGAATTTCAGAAAAAATCTTACCAAGCTCTCTGACTAAGCTGACTAGGGAATCAAATTGCACAAGTGATGCAATTTGTGACCAAACTTCTATGACATATCCATCAAATCCATATTTTTTAGCCGTTTGAATGAAGGTCTTTGATAAAGCTCTCAGTTCTTTTGTGGTCGAAAATAGTTCCACATAGTCTTGGCTTGTCCATTGGTCAAATATTATTCTAGGTACCACTGAAAGAAAATAAGAAAATAATTATTATTTTTACATAACCCTGAGTTTTGTTGCAACATTTTATAATATTTATTTTGATGTTTGTATATTTCCTAATTTTTTGTGGTTGTTACTGAGTTTTATTATGTTATAATTTTTGGCATAGCGAAAAGATTCTACAAATTGACTGATGTGGAAAAAAGTTGACTTAGGTTAATGTCAATGAAGTAATCATGAATTCAGACATGACATTTTCAACAGCAAAACTTGAAACTGAAAAAATAACATTTAAGTTATGAATTCTGTGAGATTTTATTCGTCAGACTTCAGTCATCTTCAACTTGCTGACCGATTAGACAAATATTTGTTTTAGAATGCCAACCATGAATGAGTTAATTGTTTTAATGGTATTTATCAGATCTGACTTAATCCAACTAATTTGTTACCTATGTTACTTTCTTTCTTGCTTTGATTACTTGAACATAAAATGTTTTGTTCAGAAATCAAATACAATTACAATATATAATACATGTTTCAAAGCTGAGTATTCGTTTCACTTTTGTATTTTCATCCACTGATCATGAACCTTGGCCGAGTTTTTATTACCATAAGTGAGTTCATGAAATCAGCGATTCTAGTTGAATTTTGTAAAACTGCCACCAGAATCAACTACAAATTCTTTGTAAAAATGGGTGCTGTAGTCTGATGGAATTTAGGAAATCAATAGTTTTATATGGACAAAAATTAAAGTAGTAAGTGAATGAAGGTCTGCAGTATGCTATTGTGAAAACAAGGTATCATTTTATGAGTTTTTATTACTGGAAGTAATTTCATTAAAATTATCAATATCTCAATGTAAAAGTGGTCGCATCTCTGTAAAAAAACGGACGCCAATTTCAACTTCAGATTGATCAGTAAATAAAAATTCATAAGAATTAAAAACCCTGAGATGTTTACTAAATTATTCCTGTGTTTCTTTACTGAAGGTGAAGCATCGTTTTATTCATTCTGGTGAGTTTTTGACTGATAACAAATGAAGGTTTTAAGGAGAGAGTCATATTTTTTATGTAGATAAAATAATTATGGCTAGCTATTAATAAATCTCTAAAGTCTATCCAAATCCAAGATAGACTAAAACAAAACAAAACTGAAGCGTGATGTTCACGTGATCGCCCAGTGTCAGATGGAAAGGGCAGCGTTCATTGGTGAATTCGCCTTCTTGGTACGAGTTCGGTACCAGCACAGGGTTGTAATCAGTCGTTTNAAGAAATAATTACGTCTCTTTTCATATAATGCTTGAGTGCGCTGTGAAAAATCCAATGAAAATCTTTTTATATTACACATATCTGCATTTTTCCCGTTAAACTGCAAAACTTGTGTATTTCACTCGTTATTATAAAAAAGTTTTCCTAAGTATGATATAGCATTTGTGATCAACAAGATGTTGGTTCTGAATAAGACCCTGGCCAATTCTTGGGATTTTCAATATCACGCGTGTAGGGCATGTCAATGTTTACATCCACTCTATATTGGATTTGAATTTGCTTTAGGGTACAATAAGTAACAAAAAAATAACAGAAATTAATAATGGTAGAATACCTTTCAGCTTCCTTTCTCTTCCAGCATTTCGAATAGCTGTTATCCACTTTTCATCAACATCATGAGTGCCCCTTATTTCATATTTAGCAGTGCCCTTTCTAACTATTTGCAACCATACAGGACTTATGTGAGAAAACTTATTGCCAAATATTTTTGCAATGTCATAGCCATGATTGTTCCACTAAAAATGAGAGCTTAAATTTTGAGTAGTCAGGAAATACTCAACTTACTGGTGTAACATAACCTAACACTAACCCATCAAAATTATATTCGTCCACTTCTCTGAAGAAACCTTGGTGATTAGTAAGTATTTCTCTAGAAGTTGGAGCTACATTTACATAGTTCTTATTAAATACCGTATAATTCTGAGGGCCTATCTTCGCCTTATCAACTTTAGGTTTGGTTTCTTTATTTCCTCTTGGAGATTTGGGCGACAAAGTTGCTTCAGTCTTGTATGACTTATGTAAAAAAGAGGACAAAATTAAAAAAACTATTATTTGAATATTCATGCTAAATATTTAATACTGAAGATAACGTTTGAGATAAAAATTTTGGTAATTTTATGTATTTCATAAACGTACTTTCTTTTAACTTAACCTCACTTGTCACATTTGACATCTGTTAAACGGGGACAACACACCGACATGACCTAAGGCACAGATACAGACTAAATTTTTATCTGTGTCACAGATACTAAGGTAAGGTTATGTCAATGGGACAAAACCAAAGATTATTCAATTATCTTCATCGTCCAGTTACGACATCTGACGCATATTGAAACTAAGACAGATGATAAAACAAAACCAGTCTTGTCAGCTGTGTCATATATTGTTGTGGTTTTCTAAGCCTCCCGTGAGTAAAGGTTATTTATTTTCCCTAATCATCAGTTTCTAATACATATAATAAACGCACTAAAATCATTATTTACGAATTCACAATAAATTGACTCCAAACAAAATAGAAACATAAACCTATGTTTAACATTCAGTTATTCCGACCAGCTGTTAGCTGTTTGAGTAGCGCCATCATCGATAGAAATTCCTCCCCATACCAATGTTTTGTGATTGATAAAACTACATAACGGTACACTACGTAACTTGTAGTATGCAGGATTTTATTTCTATGACAGAGCTCTCTACTCTTTGACGAGTGACGTATTCAACATGGGATGAATTCTCAATTTCACCGATTGTTTCAATGAATTCATCTATTAGACCTTCGAAACGTTAGCACATTTGTAAGGGTTTGGCCGATATAATTTCCTTAAAAATTTTCCCCATTCCTACTATTGATAAATTATCGCGAGTTAACTGTACTCTTTTGGTTCAAGCCTGTAAGTTAAGTTAATTTATCAACAGTAGGAATAGGAGAATTTTTTAAGGAATTCATGTCGGCAAAACACTACATGGAAAACAGCACCATAGTGTCAAATAAGTTGCTGACCTGACCTGTATCTACCACCATAGTATAGCAAAAAAATGCTCAATTGCTCAGTAAAAGCCATAAAGATATTTGATTGAAATATTAATTTTGATTTCTTGTACATCATTTCCATTGTAAATTAAAGTGGTGTCATCAGCAAACATTTGTAACTTACCAAATAAATTTACTGTAGCTAAAGAATTGAAATATATATAAGAAACAAAACAGGTCCAAGTATTAATCCTTGCAGTACCCCACATATTATTTTTTTCTGAACTGATTATGTCGCCAATATAGACATATTGCTTTCTGTTCATTAAATAATTTTGAAACCAATTGTAAACTAAACCTTTGATACCTATATTATGCATTATTTTCAGAAGAATTCCATGGTCCACAGTATCAAATGCAAGTCTAATGAAAGAACTCCACATTTTTGTCTGAATCTAAATCTAGCTATAATTGGGTTATGGCATCTAATACTGCCGATTCTGTTACAATTTTTTCTAAATCCGTATTGCCCATCATATAATAATTTTGTCTTTTCAAGATATTCAAACAATCTAGAATGTCCTGATTTTTCAATAATCTATATGAAATTGGTCTATAATTCGTCAATTTGGTCTTTTTTACATGCTTTAAATAATGGTTTTACTTTTGCAATTTTAGCATTATTAGGTACCAAATCTGTTGAAAAAGAAAGATTTATCAATTTACTTATCAGTGGTGCTAATTTTGATTTAACTTTTTAAACAATTTTTATGGTAATTCCATCGAATCTTGAAGCTTTTCTTGAATCTAACATATTAATTAATTCTTCTGGTTCGGTAGGCTTGAGATACATAGACGATAATTTTGAGTAAACTGCTGGACTACCTTGAGTGGGAATAGGAATACTAGATGATAAATTTGTACCGTTATTGTATCTTTATTATTACTTTGATGAATGAAAAAATAATTATACATATTCTTGTTTATGATAAATTACCATATGATTTGAACATCTACAATGTTAAATTTTCTTCAAAATACAGTAACATGGGTACACAGAACGATTAGAGTACTTTTGAAAATTTAATTTATTCATATAGTATGAATTTATACCTGACCTGTTCAGGTAGATTCATTCATTAGATAGTAGGCATACACATAGGTAATATGTCAGGGTATAAAATAGTTGTAATTTAGAAGTAACTTATTATTTTAAGCTTGAGAAAGCTATTGTATAGCGAAAAACAAAAAAGCAACACGTGTTTTTTGAATACGTTAGCTATGGATTTTCATCAAGTATCGACCAATTCCATCGTAGTTACTTTTTAGTTTTTAGACCAGCGGTACTCAACCTTTTTTCCCCTTGGGCCACATAGTCGCTACTGCTAGACCTTGCGGGCCGCAATAATAAAACTGAACTGAACAAACTACTTTCAGGTTTTGCGTTATTAGAGTTGGACGTTGTATATAAAATACAATAAAACGCAACTGTAAAAATAAACCATTTATTTAAAAATGAATGTGATGATTGACATTGATGCAAACTATTTACAATTTCTGACAAACCTGGCACATAATTACTACATGCTACTCTCAAAACGTCGTCCAGGTGCGAATCACTTAGTCGGGATCTATAAACCTTTTTCGCATATTTAATTTTTGAATATGAGGATTCGCACAGGTGAGTTGACGCAAACAAGGTGAGGAGCAAGTGTACGCAATTTTTGAGCGTTTTGTAGTTATCCGGTACTAATTTCCAGAATTCTTCATATTTGTTTACTTCTCTGTTTTCTTTAAAAATCGCCTCCAGATTTGTATCATTTTTAAAATCAATTAGTTCATCCGATAACTTTGCAACATCAAATCCCAATACCGCAAGTTGTGAAGTAGTGGCTACTTCTAAGTGCCAAATCCTTGAATCTTTCTTGAAATTCGTTGCTCAGGGAAACTAAGTAATTAGAAATAGTAGTATAGTTTTCTGGGTTTTACTTTGCACAAGAATGGGATGTTACTCGCTTGAAGACTTGAATTGGAATTGACTTGTGAAATTGGCCGCGGTGGTAGTGCGCCCGACTCACGATGGGAAGACCGTGGGTTCGATTCCTGCCTCGACCAGATATTTTTCTCGAGAGAATTTATCTGGTTGAAGCTGGGATGATTCTGCAACCGTGTTAGGAATTACACGTTAAAAGGTAAGACCTCGTTAGTCCTTAGCTCGCACAAGTTTCTCAACTTCTGAGAGTTGTTCGTATGGGGGCGACAGCTGATTAACGGAAAAACAGATTTCAAACAGAAAGAGAGAGAAGAATCATGATTTTTCTTCAACGTATTGATGAAATCCGGCATTCAGTCCTGCCAACACCGTTCGCGAGTATTCGAACACTAGGCTTTCCGGTGTTCGACCACAGTATATTCACAAAATGGAAATGAAAATTCTTCTGAGAATAAATTATACTCTATTTTACACATAATTTTCAACTTAATTCTAGACTGGTATAGGTACTTCTTTTGCTACCGCATGTAATGTCTGTTCAGTATTCAAACCGACATTTCTGATTTGTTTAGAAACAGAACACCATAGTTCTCCGTGGTGTGGTTCAGCATCTAAACATCTTTTCTTCACATCTTCTTGTTGCTCTTTGGTACCATGTAATTGTTCAAAACGGTACAAATACGCCCAAGAATCCCCCAAATCAGGTTCAATTTTCAAAGTGCGATGAAACCATTCACGACATTTTGCAATCTTTCTTTCAGACCAGAAGAGTTTGCTCACAGCTAATAAAACATGAGGATCGTGTTCACATTTTTTCAAAGCATCCACCTACAAAAAAAAATTACATGTTATTAAGGGTAATTACAAATATTAATAAATTATTCAGATTTTGATATTTATTGGACAAAAGTAATTTTTTGTGGAGGAAATCAGTTTTTTATCGAACTCTTTTTCATCATGGATAATCGAATATAAGTTGCAATTTTTTTTTCTTGGCTTCAGTTCATTCCCAAACTCCCTTGACAGTTGTCGAAAGGGATTTGAAATATTTAATATGTCAATATTATCATTGACTTTTGGAACATTCTATGTAGTACAAGGTGTTCTCGTATATTAGTTGGTTGCAATCTTGCCACTTTCAATATCTTCCTTCAAAATGGGTAGCCAAGTATGATCCAATCCAAGGAACTGTTTGAAATAGGCTTTTCTTTATTTGTAACTCGAAGGCTGCGGGCACGAAACTCGCGAAAGCGACGCGGAGCGAAGCGATGGAAGTATTTCGCGTGGTCACGAAACGCCACCGCTCGTTTCTTGCGCGTCACCTACTGTTGATGTTGTATAGATTGCCACCGTTTCACCGTCGCGTCGCCTCGACATCTTTCGACTGTCGCCATCACTTGACCTTCGCCATCGCTCGGCCATCACTATTTTCGTGCCCGCATCCTAAGGTTGAAACATGAGGGTTAAAAATATTTGTTTAATGTGTACCCCTTGGAAAT